ACCAACTGAACTGAATCTCTTGGGGTGGATCTGGGCAGTGGTGTTTTCAGAAAGCTCCTGAGTGATCCTAAAGATCTTGTTGCCAAGATTTGCTGCTGTAAACCCCCAGGTAACAGAGGGAAGTGCAGGTGGCTGAGGAAGATATGAGATACTTGTCAGTCTTTGTGGGCAATTCTAGCCATTCTGCTTCACAGAGGTACCTGACAATTAGTGGGGTGTGAGGAAAATGAAAATATGCTTTAAATGTTTCAAGACTGCCTGAAATCTGTCCTTGTACAGCTTATGTTTTCCCTCCAGTGATGCGGAAATGTGAGCCTGAGCAGTGGGAAAGCTGCCTTTGTCTCACATTGCCCCACATGAGCCAGAAAAACATAGGCTCATCCTGTGTTTGGAAGGAACTCTGCAAAACTCAGTGATGTGCCAGACTGGGAAGCAGCTTCTGCTGCCACTGCAAATATTGCTTTTACAATTTCTGGGCCTGTATGAGACAAAGCTGAAGTTTTTTTAAGTGACGACTGTTGACCACTGTAGTACCAAGAGCCCACAGGGTTAGACCCCATTCCCCAGTGTCCAGCTGGGTACGGTGGTGCTGTGCGAGGCAGCGCTACTATCCCTCGGTCTCTATCAAAGCCGAAAGGGCCAGACAGCACAGAGGTTCCTGGGTCCCACCGCACAGTGCGCTGAGGTTCAGGAACCTGCATTTCTCACAAGCTCTGGTGACGCCGATGCTGACAGCCCAGGACCCCGCTTGTGTTGCACTGGTGCACGGCAGTGCTCGGCACTCCACTGTGCACACACATCACCGGGTGTTACCATACAGAAGCAGATTCTGACTCAGAGGTCCCATGTTCTTGCCCACAGACCACTGTGTAAGTATTAGGCGTATAGAGTATTTCTTCCTTTGGGGGTAAGGGAAGAACTTCACTTGTATCTCTGCTCGCTCAGTTAAATGCCCAATTAGCAGTTTGACAGGTAAAAGATAAAAAGCCTTAAGCATTAGCTCCCTGCCCTTTGTCTGGATGGAAAAACTAAAGAAGAACTAAATTAAATGATATCCCCAAATCAATGGTAAAGTGAGGAACTGAGTGGATGTTTTGTCATGTCCAATGAATGAACAATTTTTAGACTCCTGTAGACCTATAAGGTAGGAGAAGGTATCCACTTCAATTGACTTATTTCCATAGCTGCCTGTTCAGAACGCCAGATCTGACTCAGGAGAAGTTTCTCTTTCATTTGAACCAAATGCTTTGCTTTACAATAGGCGGAAGCCATTTTGAAAAAAAAAAGTGCTGGCAATGGAGGGATTTCAGACGGCAAGACCATGAGGTGTATTCAGCCCTCCTGTCTTGAGAATGATAGCATTAGGGGCATAAGAAATGTGACTTTTGAGTATAAGCACTGGAAAATCCTTAAGCTTAAGACCACAGATAGTATATGTGCAGGGAAAACACACACACACATGTTCTTATACTGAGGAAGCCATTAGTCATTCATTCATTCTCACTCACTCATCCATTCATCCATTTATTAAATCTCAAGTACCCTCTGTATAGCAGAACCTGTTCTAGGAGATGGGGATTTAGAAGAGAACCATCTGCTAAAAATATCCAAGCTGTTCTCTGCTGAAAAGCGCCTTGGGCACTAAGATGAGAGATGGTTCTAAGCTTCCACTCTTTGAGAGGCAACACAGGGAAGGAAGGGATTTAGAGCAGTGTGTCCCTAACTATGGTGAGAGCCTAGGGTTTTTTCCCCCTAATCTGCTGTAGGTTGATATTCATAAAATACATAGAAATGAATTCCTAGAAAAAAGAAGTTTTAAAAACCACAAAGATATACAAAACACCAACCCCATTTTTCCTTATTAGATTCAACAGACAATGTCAAATTGCTTAAAGTGGGCTGGGGGTGGGGTGGTGTCTAAACACTTTCTCTCAAATTCTGTACATCTCATGGCAGACTGGTAACAAATAGCTTGCCAACAAGCAGACCCTTCAAGCTCCCCTCGGAGCAGAACTCATTCAGTGTTGGGATTCCTGGGTTAGGTTGCCTGGGTCTGAATTACAGCAGCTAACTGTGTGACTGTGGACAGAAAGTTAGTTAATGTCATTGTATCTCAGTTTTCTCCCCAGAAGAATACCACCCTCATAAAGCCATTGCTGATGCATGCAAAACACAAGTCACTACACAGAAAGCACTCAGATCAGTGTCTGGCTCACAGTAAATGCAAATGAAGTGTTACCTGCTATTGTTACTACTATCTACCACCATGAATGCTCTGCTCTCACTATGATTACACCTTCTATTACTACTGGTCTACAAGCTGTATTACTTTGGGCCAACACTCGCACAATTGTTTCATCTGTAAAATGGTGCTACAATCTCTTCCTTCCTGTTTCCTTCCTGCCTTCCCATCTACGAATGCTGAGCCCAGAAAGCAAAATCACCAATACAAAAGCATCTTATTGTCCACGAACATGGCCCCCTGTGACCGACTGTACCGCCCAGATGGCACTTCAGAGAGGCGAGGACAAAGTGTCCTGGGGTTGGTGCCCCAGCGCGTCGCCCAGCATGTGCAAGCAGCGCCGAGAGACAGCTGACCTTCCACTGTCCCTGGAGAATCCAGCTGGGCTGATGCTTTATGACACTGGGTGCGGCCCCAGCGGACAGGCACGCTCCCTGCTCCCGCTCTGTGACCGAGCAGTAGTCTAGCAAAGGGTAACTCTAAGGAACATTTTTATACCTCACGAAATGGAATAGTTAACCCACCTACATCTTTCACACATATAGATATTTCTCGGAGCTCCCTCCATAGCAGTTGTTTCAGATTCTTGGCAAAAACTTTTGAGAACTATTTCTTACTTTTTCTTCAGAATAGTCACCTACAATCAGCCAGGAACAAAAATATCAAGGTGGCACATAAGCACGTTTAAGAAACACTGAAGCGCGAGTATGGAAAATTATGTTAGAAAACAATTTATAATCATTATAAGGCAAGAGCATTCCTCAAGAGGGGAAGGGAAAATAACCATCTATTTATTTGCTTTTTCAATCCCATAATTCTGAGACTCTTAAACTTACTGACATGGTCTAATTTGCGTTCTCATAAAATTCTGATGGAGAAAGAGAGGGCAACCAAGTAACCAAATAAGAAATTAGGTATTTTGGCTCTGAAAACAACTTTGGAGATTAATAACTTGGATGGCCTTAGTTTCAAGATTTACTCACACAGAATTATCCTGTATTGACCAGGTCAAAGAGAAACAGGCAATGTAGTTATTGTCTAGCATCAAACAGAGTAATTGTTTTAAAGACCCAGCGGCATGGTAACATGAACAAACGGCTTGTGATAGGCTGGGAGTGGTTTGACAAGCACGCTGAGGTGCTGCATAGATGCGTCATTCAGTCAGCAGTGTGTGCAGTCCTAACATGGCCCAGATGGCTGTCAGCTACTTAGAGTTTTAATGTCTTTGCTACTCAAGCCGAAAATGATCATGTGTAACAAGCCAGCATCTTAGTTCACAGATTCACTGTAGTACACTGTTGCCTTTTGTTTTCTTTTAAATTCAGTATGCTAAGCATACTGGAGTTGCTCGGTGCAGCATATACCATGACCCTTCAGGGATATACAGATCGAAAGTCTGGCGGACAGGAAGTTAACGATATGGTCAGACAAAAGATAAACCGAAACAGGTTTTGTCACCCTCTTTTTCTCATCTTCTCACTATGACACTGCAGTTATTTATAACTCTCAAAACTTACTCATTTACTTTACTTATTTGAACTGAGACTCAGGGAGGAGACGTCACAGCCACGCAGAGAGCCAGTGCGCGAGTATCCAGCAGGGGGACGAGTGAGCACATGCCCCGCCCCGTTCCCGGTACAGATGCCTCACCAGGAACACATCTAACACACACTCAGGCGCTCCAAAAGAACTTTTTCCCAAGTGTGATGTTATTATTCAAGTTCTGGGAGAACTGAATGCCTCTATTCTATTTTCTCAATACTACAGAAGAGTTTGCTCACAGAAAAGAATGCACATAACCAGGACATTTCCCTATGAAAAGTTCAGCATTTTTATTCATTTTAATGTATGAAGAAGGAAAAATCAAGGAAGACTTACAGAAAGGCATGTGAGGCAGACAACTGAAGCAACTATTTCTTCCATTTACACAACTTTTCTCTGAGGAGTTCTAGCCTTCCACATTTTGAGATTCTAATCCCATCATGCAATTTTTATTAAATAAGTGCTATAGTGCCCATCAGTCTGTTAAATGAAGAACACTATAAAGATTCAATTATGATGTAATAATAGTTCATGTATATCCATAATTTAAACCCACATGAAATTTCTTTTAGTTTTATATTTACCTCCAAGTCACTGGCTAAAATGGATACAAAATAAATACCTTAAGCCTATTAATCCAAATACCCACTGAAAAGTTATTTTATTTCTGTTGCCCAAAAATCATTTCTTTATACATTCAAAGTAAAAATTTCAATATTAATGATATCATCACTTGAACGAAAGGATCTGACTTGTAAAAGCCAGGTTGCTGGTAGGTTCAAATTCACTGAGAGCTGGCCAAGTTCTTTACAGTAAGTCTGCCCTCAAATGGTAGAGAAGGTTTTGGTTGGTAGCTGAGGTTATAGGCAGAGTAACTTCCTTCCTCTAAGCCCTTCATAGCCCAGGATGCATTAACCAATGGAAAAAGAATTCATTTCAAAGACAAATTCCAGGCAAATAATGAGGAGTCACCTGCATGTTAATGAAACTCACCATCTCCCATATTCAAAGCTAACCACTTCTTAGAGATCTTAAGGAATTTCCATTATTTCTACATTAGTCCTAAATTTCCCTAGTGCCTATTTATTTCCTCTTTGTTTTGTCCCTGATGAATATGGAAACAGATGGTAATTCTTCTTGTTCTTTTAAATTTGTGACTCCTGCCAAGTCGATGAAAACTGCCGATACAAATAGTAAATTCAAAGTACATTATTACCTGTAGGAGAGGCCGCTGCACCCCCAGCACCTTCATGGTGTCTGCATTAGCTAAGATCTTCAAAGGGTCGGATGTTTTAGTGACTCCTTCAATCTCCTTGTTGATTTCAGCCAAGACCTGATTGAGGAAGATGTTTTTGATGTACATGGTAAGAAACTCTCGAAGAGGACACTGCTTGGCTGGGCCGAGTCCCAGGGCATGTTCAATCTCCTGAATGAATCTGGAAGACAGCCGGAATACAATGATTGTTAAACATATCAGAAAAATAGTTACAGTAGTATATGACAAAACACATATAGGTATCTCTAAGCTTTGGCTATTTCCATGGACAGAGTGGGGGAGTTCTCAGAAATCTTAACAAGAGCAGGTTATCACTCTATTATTTATCTGTAAATGAAGGTATTTTTATAATACAAGTTAGTCCACTAATTGAATGTAAATAGGATGAAATAGAAACTATTACTTCCAAACTAGAGGGGGAAATAAGCAACACAAAATATTTTTTCTTAAGTCAAGAAGGAAATATGAATACAAAAGGCAAAGAAAGACAAGATAAATGGAAAACAAATTATGATGAAAATTTAGAGGCACACCCCCAAATACTATTTATTTCTCATGGAGGTATTATATATATGGATAGAAATGTTAAAAAAAAAGACACAAGCATAGAGGATATTCTTTCAATTTGTGATGGCATATGAGTTGGGAGGTTACAAGAAGGAACAGGATAGGATGTAGAGACAAAGGAGAACTTCAACTTTATTTGTAATGATCTATTTCCTTTATTAAGAAGACAAAGCATATACAGCAGAAGTTAATAACTAAAAACTCAAAGACGAGTATGCAGTTGTTTGTTATATTATTCTTTGTACTTTTCTATACTGGCAGATCCTGCTTTGCATAGTTCCAAGGTGCACAAGTTTAAGTTTCTATAGTTTGGTCAGTAACACCCACCAGTCCCCCAAGGCTTAAATTTCAGTTACCACAATATATTAACTGTGAGAAATGGCATAAAGTAAAAACTTTGCTGCTTGCTGCCTCTTTAGTTCCGAAGCCTCTACATAAATAATTGATGTTCATCATGATCAATGACCAATCACATCACTTCTCTCAAAATCTATCAGTCTTTGATCATGGCACATCACTTATTAAGTTTATGTACAGACAGCAAAGCATGTAGTTGTGTTGTCTTCTTATCTCCCAGTGATAACCCACGTGAGATTTTACAAAAATGGATAATTAGGGGGGCCATCAGGTGAGAAATCGGGGAACAACAGTGGTGAAGCTTAGAACCTCACCACCCCACCCCACCCCGTTTTGAGAGAAAGCTTCTGCATCCGTGGATGTTTTGCTGCCCTTGTCTAGCTTGGATTAGCACATAGTCTACAGGCACACACCTGATCATCTACAATTGCTCTCTTACAACACTAAACTATGTTTTCTAATTTTATCTTGCATCTACCTACCACTTCAGCATTTTATTAAAAATAAAAAAAATAATAATAATAAAGGGAGAAATGTGGGATCCACATATAAATCAAG